ATCTCCATCGTCATCTGTCAGTGACACTCAGTGAGGAGGTCCTTAAGACGAGGCAGGGCGGCACAGTGGCCAGCATCCGGGGTCCCCGTGCCCCCTAAGGCAGTGGAGGTGGGGGAGGGGGGAGATCACATTTGTTGAGACTCCGGTACTCGGGGAGGTGCCCGGCCCTGTCCCCGGCCTTCCACAGACGTTACCTGACGTGCCCGTCAGAATCCAGGCGAGAAGTGAATCCCCCCATTTAACAGATGGGGAAGGTGGAGGAGAGGGACGCTGCCGGAGGTGGGCAGGACTCAGAAGGGAGGGGAAGAGCCGAGGTCTGCACCCAAAGCTCGTGTGTGTGTGTGTGTGTATACACATATATACTGTACATATATAAAGTTTATGGATGTCAGAGAGGAAGGGAGAGGGAGAGAGAGAGAGAAACATCCACGATGAGAGAGAATCATTGATCGGCTGCTTCCTGCACACCTCACCCAGGGCCTTAAGCCCACAACCCGGGCATGTGCCCCGACTGGGAATCGAACCCTGACCTCCTGGTTCATAGGTCGAAAGCTCAACCACTGAGCCACACCAGCCGGGCCACACAAAACTGTTTAGGCAGAAAAGAGAGGGAACCCCCCCACCCCCAAACTCAGTCCAGGGACACGGCCTTTCTCTTAGGAGGGGGAGCATCAGGCCTGGGGCTGAGCCGTGTGTGACGGAGAGGACTCTGGGCGGTGAGACCCCCAGGTCACCCCGGCGTCCCTCCTGCCCCCGGGGGAGGCTCAGCGACCTCTGCTTCCTCTCCTCCGTTCGCACTGGCTTCTCTCCGCCAGGCCCCCCTCTCCGGGTGGGGGTGGGTCTTTCCAGCAGAGACAGCTGTGCGCAGCCTCTCCAGGGCCCTGCGCCTCGCGAACTCAGCGGGTGAGGGAGGAACCCCGCGCGGATTCCCGGATTCCTGGCCTGGACCCCAAATCTCACGCCTGTTTCTCAAGGCACAAGCCCGGGGTGGGGTGGGAGGGGTGGCCCGGCTGGGAGGGGGGGCCGCGGC